AAAAAAGCAGAAGAAAACAGATGAATGAAATACGAGAAAGAAAGAGAATAATTGAATTATCACAACTTTTGATAAAATTTGTAAAAAGATTTAAGAAAAAAAGGAAGAAATAACTTTCCTCTTTCTAGGGTTTCTTGGGAGAAATTGAGTCAATCAAAAAAGAATAGGGGTTTGGGATTAAAAAATCTGCAAGTGTTTAATGAAGCTCTGATTTCTAAACAATTGTGGAGAATTATAACCCAACCCAATTTGTTGATGAGTAAGGTCATTAAGGGGAGATACCTAGCTAAAGATAACCTGCTTTCAGTTAAAAAGGAGATTCTGATTTATAACTATGGAAGAGTTGGTTGAGTGTTAGAGAGAATTTTTTTTAGTGGAGTGAGATACCAAATAGGGGATGGGATTTCTGTATCTGTATGGGATTCACCTTGGTTTCCTAGAGTTCCCAAGGGGAAACCTTCCTGCAGGTGTGAGAGTGATAAGCTGAATCTGAAAAAAGTGAGTGATCTGATATTAGCTGATGGCAAAACCTGGGATAAAGATCTGATATTGCAAACATTTCCACCTTTTGAGGCTTCTGAAATCCTTAAAATCCAGTTAAGTTTTTTCAGGAGAAAGGATAGGCTGATATGGCTTTCTAAACACAAAGGAGATTTCTTTGTAAAATTAACACATACCAATTTCTTGCAAAACTCAGGTGGTGCTTTGGCAAAGCCAGTGGGAGTGGTGAAAATGGGAGAAACATACAAATGTGGAAACTTAAAGTGCAAACTAAACTCAAAAATTTGTTGTGGAGGTTGTTGAACAACTACTTAGGTACTAATAGGCAACTGGAGCTTAGAGGAGTTTCAGGGGACAGTATCTGTGTTCTATGTGGTGAAGAGCCTGAGGATATAAATCATTTATTTGTGCATTGGAAGTTGCTTGGACTGGAATGGGAAGGTTTTCAAAGTGATAACTTCACATTTAGAGATTGGTGGGAGGACATGTGCAATACCAAGAGAGCTTGCAGAATGAAAGAACGGTTGGCTTTATCAGCTTGTCTTTTATGGAGAATATGAAAAGCAAGAAACAACCTTGTGTTTAGAGGTGAAAGCTTTCTAATTGAAGAGGTGGTGGCTGGTACTAGAAGAGATTGGGCAGATATTCTGGACAACACATTGGGGAATGCAGTGACAGATACAAACTGTACTCATCCAATCAAGCATCTAGATGAAGATTTTTCCAAGAGGGTATGACTTGTATCTCTACAAGTCAGTGCTCTACTTTCCTTCAGAGGCTTGGTTGGGGCTGGGTTGGTAGCTCAATGTGACAATGAGATGTAGTTTGAAGCTACAGATGGATGGGAAGGGACAAGAAACCAAACAGAGGCAACTCTACAAGTGGTTAGATGGGCTCTGAATCTGGCTGCACAAAAAGGATGGAGACATCTCTGTTGGTACTTGAATTATGACAGTTTGGCCAAAAGAACTTAATGGTGATTGTCTATTTTCCACTTCTGTTAGTTTTACAACTGCTATAGATGATATTTGTATGTTTGGAGACTGTTTTTCTTCTAGTGTTTTTCTGTTTTCTCCTTGTTGCATAGATAGTAAAAATATAGCCATGTTGGCTTTGGAGGGGGAATGCTGTTAGCTCCCTCGATTGGTAGTCTTCCTATTGTCTGTAATAGGGTTGGCTTACTATCTGGTCAGTTGAACAACCAAGTGTAATTTTCTTGAGTTAATATATATCTATTTTCGCTTGAAAAAAAATATAAAAATAAGTTCCATCGATAGCCGTTATGAAAGGTTTTTTTAAATTCCAAACATAATGTATATGAAATAAGAAAAATACACGTAAATAAACTGAAAGGTTTTTTTAAATTCCAAACCGTATATGAAATAAGAAAAATACACATAAATAAACTAAAAGATATAGTGACTTGTGAAACAATAAAAGNTATAAAGAGGAGCAACAAAGCATTTAATTTTATTACCATGTTTTAAATTTTATTCTCCTTCCAAAATTTTCAGCATTCAATTTCATTTTTAAGTTATAAATAACTTGCTTGAATGCCATAAATTATTAGCATAAACTAATCAAGGGAGTTACAAAATTGTACTCAAATTTTAAGTCACACCCACTGATGAAAATGGCCGGGTGTATTAGCATAAAGAAAATGATTGTAACAGTTTTTCCATAGTAATTACTTAATCAAAATCAATTTTGAGAATTATTTTTTTAATTCATATTTTTTTAGTAAATTAAATTATAATTTATTTTTGTTTTTTTATATTTTTATCTTTTTAAAGTATTCGTGGCAAATGCACCTGTTGATTTGCAAATGCACCTGTTGATTACTAGTATAAGTAAGACAAAAGACACCATTTACTGCCCTTGTCTCATTCTCTCTCCTCTTGCTTCTGCCCCGAGGCTCTTTATCTTCCCAAAAGCATTTCACAGATCCCAGCCCCTTTCTCCCTACAAAATTCAATCCAAATTCTGCACCCAATAATCGTCCCAATTTGATCTTTCTCTTGCTTCCGGCAGCAAGCATCGATAGTTGTTCGTTGTGCCCGTGTGAGGCCGACCAAATCGAAGGCGGCTTTCTTACGCCAAGCTGCGAGCACCCGTCAGAAAACTGGACGAGAGTCGCCTGCGACCGAGCCTCGCCATTGCTACAGTTTCCATGTCCTCCGCGGACGGCGGCCCCGCTTGCGAACGGCGACGAACTGTTCCACAGGCGGCGACTCAAACGGCGGCGGTCGGCGATCAGTCGAGTGCTGCGGTTGGCAGCCGGCACTTTCGGGTGAGGGTCGAACTCCAATTTCTAAACAGTACTATATTGCGGCTTTTCAACTGCGGTTTCGTGCTGCAGCTTGTATCCCAATCGAGACCTAGATCGACGATTTTTGGGTGATAGTTGCTAAATTTATATTTTGGTTTGCTTGTGATTTGGTTGAAATTGATAAAATGAACCTGCTGCATAGTTGTTTGATGTTCATAGGATTGACAAACTGAATCTGTACAGGAAATTACCTACGGGAAGAAGGAAAAAGAGGCTAATGAGTATGGAAACCTGTTGATATTCTGTGCTGGAGAGGCTTCGGTAGTCAGTTAGCGTAGGAAAATATTGACTGAAAAGGCTGTAATATGTTTTATGCATATGTTGGTGAAATAGGTTAAATTAGTGTATGTTCATTGTTTTCGTGTACCATAATTTCTTCCATATCTTTCTAAATAAATTAATAATAACATTTAATTTCAGAAGATTCGTTAATTATAATTTCTTAAGCACATATAGTAAACTTGTATATCTATATACATCATTCTTTTAGAAATATAATGGGTAAAATACTCTTAATTTATATTTTAAATATGTAAGTTTTCTTCTTGACTTTGAATAATAGGTATCATAAAATAATTTGAATACATAATATTATGCTCAAAACACTTAAAAAAGGTTAATAGTTACTTTCCTAACCCAATATGAATTTCGTAAATATTAATAATACTAATAACAACAACAATAATACCAATAATATTCATAAATTATAATTTCCATATTTGGATTGTTACAATTCATGTTCACTTTTCATTTCTCTTTTATTTTGATAATAGTGCGAGATGTATACCTCTGTTATCAACAACAACAACAACAACATACCCAGTATATTCCCAACAGGTTGGAGTCTGGGGGGTCAGTTGTACGCAGACCTTACCCTTGTAATTATACAAGGAGGCTGTTTCCGTAGCGACCCAAGATGTATACCTCTGTTATCAGCAGTTCGTAATGGACCTCCGCGTAGAATGGCCTTTTCATTTGGGTGGCTTATCCAAATTGTAATTAGTAGTATGTGTTTAGTGTAAGCCCATTGGTTTTGTTACCTTCATGTTGTTGCCATTGATGAGAGAAAATCTAGTTTTTTGTACAAACTTTGAGTGGTTTCCATTCTTACCTTTTATGCTGGTTCCAATAGATTGGCTAACTAACTGTATTGTCAGATTATATTTGAAGTGTATAATTTATTTATTTTTTGTTTCAATGTTGCAGTCTTATGGTTCTTACCTGGAAATTTAGTTCAGTTATAATTTATTTGCATGTGTTAGTTGTCCAATTGGCTATCATCTTCCTAGGTTTTTGGGACCTCACCACATAATGTTATTTGGATTTTCAGCCTTAACACGACTGTTAAGCACGATTTTTCCAATCCTTGTTACGATTTTTGAGCAGTTTTCACTTTTCAGATGACACTTGAAAACCCTATTATTTATCCATACTGTTTCAGGCGCCTGTATGTCTGACTTGTGGTGACAAAGGGAATGCTGCACTTCTTATCTACTGCACGAGGTGCCGGGATTCTGCTGTTCATCAGTATGTACTTCCCCTGAAAATTCACTTTCTTCCGTATATGGTAGATCAGATCCGGTAAGGCATGTGGATTCCTCTCTAATTTTAAGGGTACATATGGCTCTGCGTATGGTAGATAACAGTTAATGTTACAGTTTTGCTGTCAAATTCAACAAAAGGTGCATACTATGACAGTTATCCATGATTGGCCTTTGCTATTACTTTCTTTAATGATTTTGCTTCTCAACGCTGCTTTTTCTCTATTTATCAAGACTGCAGATCACTACCTTGACTAGACCGACTTGCTTGATTTTTCATAATATTTTGCTTGTAATTTTCCTGTTTGATTTAAGTTAAGCCAAAATAAGTACTAATGCAGTTGGTGAGGCTATAAAATATGACAACGGACAGTTTTGTCTTGGGATGGCAAGTATTAGTTGATTTGTTTCCTTCCTACCGTACTACTGAAATAAGTCTTGGTGATTTTGATCTGATGCAAGACAATAAGCTTTTCCATAAATTCTTATTGTATAAGTTTTCAAGAAACTTTACTGTCCAGCACTAAATAATATGCAGGTGTACTTCTCATCTGATGAACTAAAGCTTCTGATCTAACTAATGTTTTTTTAATTCTTGAGAGAAACTTCAACCTGAAAAATCTTTGTAGGATTCGAGTTGCTATTATCATGAGGTGCCTGTTAATTTGCAATGGAAGGTCTCTGTTTTTATATTTGTTGCTTTGACCAGTTCCTAAGATTGTGGGTACCATTTTTCTGCCGGTTAGATGTTCTAAGTTTTAATTGTAGTGAATTACTAGGTATTACTTGACTTGCCTTAAGCATATTTCCTCCTCAGTAATTAACTTCCCTTCACTGAATTTACAGTTTACTGTGTTATATGGATTGAGTTTTAAGTATTTAAATTTTTGGACATAAGAGTATAGTTACCCTCTCTGATTCTTTTGATAAATTATACAGTGGAAAACAGTACATTCAACAAAGTATTCATATAAACAGAGTACAAGAAAAAAGTTTTTCATGACAACACGTTCTACTATTTTACAGAATGAAAGGAATGTGGGTGGGCTGCATTTGGATGGAAGGGACCTATGGAAATGATTTTAAATATCTCCATATAAGATTGTCAAATCCACCACCATGACACACGAAAAGAATTGGCTTATGGATTTCTAACCATTTGCCTCAAAATTATCAATCCAATTTAGCCTGAATCACTGCCCGTCTTTTGTTTCTCAATACATTTTCATTCTACATTCATTATAAAGCCAAATATGAAATTATTTTCTCAAATAAATTTTCTTCATTATACATTCCTCTGAAAACCACTTTCCTGGAAAAACTTATCCCAAAACATCTGAAAACAAGTCAAGTATTCTTGACAAGAATCTGAAAAAAGAGAGAGAGAAAAAAATGAAAGGGTGAACTTACATGAATAGAATATGGAAGACAAAACATTCATGAAGTGTATTTTATTTTTCAAATGTTTTCTTCTGTGCCAGTGTGATAATACTGTCTATTATTGATGTTTTTATTCAAATTCTGTACTTATGTACAGCGATACATTTCATTTGATTTTAATCATCATTTTCTTATTGTTGTAAGCAGTAGATCTTAAGATGCAAGGCTCAAATTGCATAGTGTAATGATTATAAATCCATCTTAGACTAATTGACAGTGGTTTAATTAACTTACAGACATGTGTTGTTTTACTTTTCTAGCTATTGCTTGAACAACGTCTCTCCCAGTGATGATAATATAAACTGGTTGTGTTGGGACTGTGCTCCAAAAGATTGCATCAATGAGCCATCAAGGAAAAGCGAGCGAATTAGTTCTAAAGGGCCAAAGGTTCGAAAAACCAAAAAACAGAGGTTGGAGGAAGACGAAAGGCTGGTTCATATTAGAGATGTAGCCAATGAAACTGACAAACCAGCCACTGACCACCTTCCTCCTGTCAAGGATATGGAATACCTAAGAGAGCTAGATTTTTCAGAAGAGAAAAAATTAATATTTGAAAGCCCAAGCTGTTTCAAAGGGCAGACTGAGTCGATCGATGTCAATGAACCCTCATTGTCCACCAGAAGTACCTGTCCAATTCAGGAGGAAAACATCACGAATTCACTTGACGAGACTCGAAAAATTCATCAAGTCAAAAAAAAGAAAAGAATCTTGATTCTTAATGACAGTGAAAGCTCCAAAGATGACGCTAAAAACATTGTCTTTCAAGCACCTTCCTTGGCAACTATTGATCAAGTTGTATCATCACAAGCATTAAGTGGCCAGCCGTTTTTAAAACCTGAGGATAGCATCTCAGCAGAACCCATTCTTGACCCCAAATGGAGGTAAAGCCTTTGATCTTTTTAACTTTACATGTGCAGGAACAATAATGGTGCATGATTAATAATGGGGATTGCTGATGATTATGCTGTTTATGATTATTTTGGCTTTGTGTTACATGTGCATCATCCCTTTCGCCAATGAGCTCATATATGATCCAAAGTTATTGTTCGGACCAATGAGCATTAGAATGTCATGATAAAAATATTACATAAAAGAACCTTTAATTTATAACTCATTGAACTCTTTTTAAACATTTTAATGTTTAAGACAGTCTTGAATTTTCATATAAGAAATAGTCAATATGTAATAATGTTCGATAGACACATTGATTATTTATATTTTGTTATATATACTATAAGTACAATCATGTTATTGCTCACTAATATTTTTCAAATAACTATTTATATTTATATCATTACATCTATGGAAAAAAAGAAGTATTGTATTAAGAAATATTGAGCTTGCTAGCATACCCAAATTTCAAGTTTTGTATGTTATGGACCAAAATTAAGTTAAAAAAAAAAAATACTCTCCTACTATAACAACACAATTATCAATAATCGAAAGATATAGCAAGAGAAAATATCCAAACAACGTTAATTAGCTTTGAATTAAGATACATTCAATCTATATTAGCATAACAATAGATTCATATCATGTGTATTATTAAAGGTGAATTAAATATTATTATTCGGAATTTTTTTTTTCTTAATAAGTTAGAAATTTAAAAAAAGCATTTTTATTATATATCTATTACTTCAAAAAAATATTTAAAATAAAAATTTTGCATTTGTGTATGATGCATGATTATTTTTGGCTTAAATCATTCACACAAATATATCAAAGATAAGAGACTATGTTGATTAAAATTGAATTAACAATTAAATCTAAGCTACAATACAAAAAATTACATCAATAAAAGTAACACAACGATGATCATGATTTCAAACTATTTCAAGACAACATTAATTAACAAATGATAGATAAATGAGACTTAGTTATCGAAAAATTAATTGATTTCATTTTTGGGTTTTGAATACAAATTTATTTATTTAGTTTTATTTAATTATTGCTTTTAATTAATACCTTTAAAGATTATGTTTCGGTGTAAATACATTTAAATAATTTATTATCCAACTATTATCTACTAAATATGAAAATAATCAAAAAATGCTAGTGACAGAGATGAGAATGTTGAGATGGATGTGTGGGCATACTAGGTTACATAAGATTAGAAATGAAAGTATTAGAATTAAAATTGGGGTAACGCCCATAAAGGAGGAAATGAGAGAATCACCATTAAGATGGTTTGGGCGTAAGCGTAGGAGAGACTTCGAGGCCCTAGTGTGAAGGGCAGAAATATTAGAATTAAGAACTCAAATTAAAAAGGGAGAGGTAGACCTAAGAAAACTTGTAAGGAAACAATAAAAATAATTTAAAATATTTAAATTTGAATAATAATGTGTTCTGATCGAGCAAATTGGTGACATGTGATCCATATAGCCGACCCCGGGATTTTAACGGCTTTTGTTGTTTGTATTATATATGTGTTTCCTCGTTTATTAAACTAATGGAAAATTTTGAATTTTTAACCATAAATTCAATAAAATATAACTTTTAAAAATCATAAAAAAATATTAATAGTCGCGTGGGTCGCACTTGCAACTTCCTCATAGAATAAAAATCCCCACCCTAGGATCCAATTTCCAATTGAATTGTGGTTTAACTTAATGGCCTATTTTTGTGTAAGGGCAGTTACAAAATGCCACAGATCTCATAGTCTTGTAACAAATTGACTATACCATTCTCCTGATCCCATGTTCCCATACGCCACCTTACATGCTATGTGAGTCCTTTGGACAGTAAACCTTCTGCGCTCACTCCATTGGTTGAAGTGATGACTAACTTTTTTGTGCTGTATGGATTTTGGTTCTTGCAACATCAAGGGGATGGTTCAACTTCAAAGAAGATGGAGAAGAAGACGAGAGTTGTGTTGAAATTTTAGCTCATGCATCTGACAAAGCCTGCTCAAAAGTCTTTGATACCACAAGTGCAATGCCGTACACGCTCGACACCCAAATCCTCCAAAAATCTGCCGTGTGGCCCAAAAGTTTCAGGGTCACACCTCCCACAGCCGCCAGCATTGCTCTGTTTTTCTTTCCTGCAAACGAGAGGTGATTCTTTTCTTTAAAAAAAAAAATCAATTTTCTCTGGAACTGTTCCATCTTTTTTAGGTTTGACTTTCCCAATCAATTGGTCTTTTTGTACTTGAAGGGATGAGAGAGTGTATGATAGTCTGCTGGACAACGTCATTCAGAAGGAACTTGCTCTGAAGGCTACAATTGACAATGTGGAGCTCTTGATCTTCTCATCTTACGAATTGCCTTTACCACACAGGAGTAAGTTGACCCACAAAAAAATTTACAGCTTGTATTCTTGATTTTTTTTTTTTTTTTTTTTGCATTGAAAATTGTACTTTTCTTGACGGTTGCATTTCATTGCAGGGTTCAATGGTAAGTATTTCTTTTGGGGCGTGTTCAAGAACAAGAAGAAGCATGGCTCTAATTCGTCCTCCACTGGTCAGCAAATGGAGAGTCGGGTGGAGAATTCTGGATGTGCTGGGCCAGTGGATGGTGCAAACGGGGCAAATAAACCTGCCGATGTGTTGAATTATCCGAACCTGCAAAATTTGAGTCCTTTGAGCATGGATAGTAGCCAGGCATCTAATTTGCTTCAATCTAAGCAGAACACCCCGGATTCTCTACATTTATCTGCAGCAGTAGTATAAGCAGGGATATATTGTATGAGGACTTGTATATATGGTTAAAGGAACGCAATGCACGAAGATCCATGTTCCAAAGCTCCAATAGTGGGGAAATGTACCGGAAGATTGCGAAAGTGGTTGAATCTCGTCCAAGTTCAATTTCAGAACGTGTTGTTTCATTCTAGGTTTTGATTACACAAATTGCACTTTAGGTTTAGTCTAATTATTGGTGTTCTGGTGACAATCCGCAATATCAAATCCGTATTTTTTTTTTCGGGAATACATAGAACCCTTAATTACAATTAGAAATCAGTTAGAAGTCGAATCTAGTGAGCATAGAGAAAACACTCAAACACAAATACTATAACCATAGACTAAAAGTTTTTCCCATAGCTGGACCACAAAACAGACTGGATCATGACCCAAATTTTAGATCCAGAAACTGCACACACACACACACCCCTAATTGGAGCTGAAACCCAAGACCCCAACCCCGACCCCTCAGTCAGAGGACAACGAACAAACGCCCACCACACCATCATACCCCGAACCTAGCCCACACCACGGGCCAGAGCTCGTCACGCTGCCCGTCCTCTCATCCCTATCACCATGGGAGAAAGGAACAAGGGGGAAGATGTCTGCTAACCTTCATCACGACACCGACAATTGGCAATCGAAACAACAATCCGCCCCCACAACAGCATCAAATCCCGCCACCGCGTCGATGCCATAGAGTCCGACGACCACTGTCCCAAGATGCCAACCAGGTAGAAAGGCGAGGACCACTCGGCAACGCCATCCAACTCCACCACGCGAGAAGATGGGCCCTTTCACCAAATTGGTGCCACATCGCACAATGAGGAACTGATCACCGTTAAGGAGCACAGTGGCCCCACCGAGGCAGCAAACATTAAGTCGAATATAAAATTGGGGAAGGACGAAGAGAGAGAAAAGATATGTATACGTTTGAACGATTTATATATATAATTGTCGTGTTGTATGAGGTTCTTTGATGCGAATGAAGGCCAGCGAGTATTGAGGGGCAAGTCGACCAAGTTTTCTAGTATAACTATTATTATAATTCTATTCGGAATTAGTATAGGTATTTGATTATTTTGGAGATTCTTAGGACCTTAGATATTTACTTTTCTTAGGATTAGAATTTATTTCCTCATAGGCTTAGTATTTCTCTTCTTTGAATAACCTATATAACCATCGTTGATTTCATTAAGCAATATAAAAAAAAAATGCTCTTTCATTGAGAGTGACTTTCATTGAGAGATTGATCATGTTTCACCATGACAAATCGAGAGAGGCTGGGCAATTTGGAGGAGAGCTTGAGGACTATGAACGACGGTCTTTATTCTACGAACCAAACCATGGCCATGTTCGAGCGGCTGATGCTAGGCACGGTCGGACGGCGAGCACGGCAAGGTGGCAATTCTGACTCATCATCAGAGACTTCATCCGATTTCGGGGCCGAACGCGACCAATCTGAGGGGAAATCCGACAACCGATCACGGGGCTCCAATCACCGTGAGAGGCGCAGGTTTGAGAAGCCGAAATTGACACTACCGATGTTCAACGGGGCGGATTCGGATGCGTGGTTGAGTCGTGCCAACCAATATTTCGACATCAACGAAATCTCGAAGGCCAAGAGAGTTAAATTTGTTGCCTACTATCTCGACAGGGAGACAAACGTCGGGTGACAATGGATATCGCTTGTATACAAAAAGGACACGCAAATCCGTTGAAATTTTGTAAAAAGAGTTGATGATTACGGAATTCCGAATTTGGATCCTCTTTTGAGACTGAAATTCATAATTAAACTAGGCCAAATTTTGTACTGATAAAATAAGCTTTTCCCAATTTACAAAAACAAAGCCTTTAGTTTGGGGGGCAAAAACAAAGCACCAGAAACACTTCCCGATCATCGTGAATGGTTTTGGGGTTGCATGTAAATTTTTTAAGATTACAAATACGCCCCACAATTTAAGAAAATAATTTCCAAAGTCGCCACCTTTGGGACTATATTTTGAATGTTTTCTAGGAGATATTTTCGCCAGTGACCAAATTCCTGAACAACATTATCCAAAATTCCAGATACAGTAAATCTACACAGAAAGGCAAAAACCCTGAACTGATAAGGAAAAAGCCCGTGTTCCCAATCCCAAACACAAAGCCACACAATTCGGACCAAAAGAGTTCAAAGTGCAAACGGAAAACGGTTATCCGACTCGAAATTTTAGTAGTCTGCAGAAATTTTTCTTCTTCTTCTTCTTCGAGGAATGGCTCTTTCGACCGCTTTAAACCGGCCCATTATCTCCTTCAATGCCACATCTTCCCCAATCTCTTGTTTCCTGCAACCGAATGGTATCAATAGCTGTCAGAATAATGGTCCAATGGTGGTGGGATTTCATAAAACATATAATCAGTCTCTGGTCGTTAGTTGCTGCTCTGGCTCTGGTGAAGGTTCCCCCTCCGATTCTATGAATTTGCGGTACTGTAATTGTTTGCGCTGCATTCTTCTTCTTTTTATTGTTTCTTTTTCAGTGGTAGTGCCGGATTCCGAATTCTGGGGATCGATGCACTGTTTCTGAGTTAGTAGTTGATTACTAATGGTTCTGTGTTTCTTGAGATTTTTCCAATTCAGCTGCGTAATTTTAGTTGATGCATATCTTGGTTCAGTTTGTTTGATGTTGTGCAAGGATTTATTCTGTGGTTCTTATTAGTCACGGTAAGCAACGGAGGAATGATGTGTTGGAAGCTGAAAGTGTAGAATATAACTTGCATTAGCTCATTTTCAGTATTTTGAGACGTAAATGTTGTAGGTACTCCATTTGTTATCGAAATTCGCAGATAGTCCATTGGTTTATTAATGGAACAAAAGTTTGCCAGTTTTATGAAAATACTAAGCAGTGAGAAATGTTGGTATAGTCTGAAGATTGAGCCCTTAGCTGAATGAAGTGAAAAAAGATTCGATATTTGAAAAGGCAGAATGGACTTATTCTATAGTGGTATAGTTGAGATAGGTGCAAATTGTNTCTATTTTCTGGAGACAGCGATTATGATTGGTTTTGAAGATAAAATTTGGACTCTTAATTTTTTAATTTATCTTATCCTGATGTTTCAAAAACTTGGCTTCAGTTTCATTCATCATCAATAAAATGCCTGAAGTTACTAGTTATCAAAGAGTATGTTTGATCCTCCAAAATTTGTTCTTTTCTTAGTTTGATTATTTATTTTATAGCTTTGCAAATGTGGCTATATACATCGGATCCAGTTATATTGACTTATCATTTTCATCGTGGTTCACCTGAAACTTCACTATGCTTATATGGCTATCTTGGATGTGAACCTTGTTTGGCTCCTAGCTAGAATAATACATGACTTGGTTTGCTTTCCAGTTTTCAATGGAGTAAAGAAATGAATGACTCTTTTTATGTATCTTGTAATACCTGTGCACCAACAAAATAACCACTCATATTGGCTGCAACATATGACAGTAATGATATCATAAACTTCAGATTTAACATGCCAGAATCATATAACATTTTGTCTTCTTTTCTTAAGTAGGGGTTTTAATTGATTTTAAAGAGGTAGATATGTCTATCCAAAGTAACTTCTTTTTAGCACATTTTTTTTCCTTTTCACTTTGTAGGCAGCCACATTTTTCATCAATTCCTAGGCCTGCTTTTGGTGTCCAAATGAATGACAGCAGCTTGCAAAAACCATCATATAAATGGCGTAGGGTTTTGCTTAAGGTAAGCGGGGAGGCACTTGCAGGAGATCAAACACAAAATATTGACCCAAAGGTTGGTTAAATTACTCAGATTTAATGTCTGAAAAATTTGTATTATCTCCACTGTGCTTATTTGAATATGCTTGTACAGATCACAATGTCCATTGCACGGGAGGTTGCAGCTGTTACTCGGCTTGGTATTGAGGTAATCCTCTTAGTAGCTATATGCTGAAAAAATTCAGTTATATTCATAAACTTGTGAAGATTATTTATCTATAACGATCTATAACCATCTCTTTTTAAGAAATAGGATTGTCACCCCACACTAATACATATACTGCTCATGACACTTTGCCATTTTGTGGAGTCATGCTACAAATTTATAAGATTATTCCCAATACATGGGTTCTTTATTTATTTATTTATTTTTTTCCTGAAAGTATAAATATCTTGTTAAATTCGTTATGTAGATCTCCAATTTAGTATGATTCTGCAGATTAATATCAGCTTTGCAAATGCACTTGACTTGCCTTTACTGAAACATTCAGGTCGCGATTGTTGTTGGAGGAGGAAATATCTTCCGTGGGGCCTCCTGGGCAGGGAGCAGTGGCCTTGACCGTTCTTCTGCTGATTATATTGGGTAAACTCATTTATTTCCTTGAGCTGACATTTATTTTATGCATCATTATGTTTCCAATGCATCCGCAGTTCTAATGCGATGGTTATACATATGGATTCTCACAACTAGCAAGCATTGGCCTAATAAATAGCGTTATTGTTTTTCAAATCTCAATCTGTGAAAGCATCATTCACTAATATTTCAGCTGTGACCTCATGTACGCTGTACAAATTTAAGTTTCCCCTCTTGCTGAACTGTTGGTGTAAAGAACTATACTTGTTCTGCTGATTTGTTAGCTTATAGTTGTATTCACATGAATTTAGCTTATAATGAGGTGTATTTTATGGTTCTATATAAATAGAAAACTTTTGCAGAGAAATAATATGAAAATTCTCATGTTGCTTCATACTATTTTGAGTTGTGGTTTCCATGCGTGAAGGGTACCATGAAATATATCTCTCTCTTTTTTTTTTCTTTTTGTTCGTTATGTTTTTTTAGGATGCTAGCAACTGTGATGAACGCAATTTTCCTACAAGCAACGATGGAGAGCATTGGGATCCCAACAAGGGTTCAGACAGCTTTTCGCATGTCTGAAGTTGCTGAGCCGTACATAAGAAGACGAGCAGTGAGGCATCTTGAGAAAGGAAGAGTTGTAATATTCGCGGCAGGCACTGGTAATCCCTTCTTCACCACCGATACTGCTGCTGCTCTTCGGAGTGCCGAGAGTGAGTCTTTTTTTATCACTTATAACAGAATTACAGCTGGCAAAGGACAAAAATTAAGATAACTTTCTTTTTTTTTTTTTTGATTTAGTAAATGCTGAGGTGGTGCTTAAAGCTACAAATGTGGATGGTGTGTATGATAAGGATCCCAAGCAAGACCCTAATGCCCATCTGCTTGAAACCCTAACTTATCAAGATGTTATTTCAAAGGAACTATCTGTTATGGATTTGACAGCCATCACTCTGTGCCAAGAGAACAACATTCCTGGTAAGAAAAAACATTAACATTTATTATATTTTGTGTTGGTCATTATTAATTAAAACTAATTTTGGTTTCATGCAGTTGTGGTGTTTAACTTGAATAAGGCGGGGAACATTTCGAAAGCAATTAAGGGTGAGAGTGTCGGAACATTGATTGGAGGGTCTCAGAGGTCGGCTGCGGCCACAACTTCGAACAATTAGTCAGTTAAATTATAAATAACTAATAAATATAGGCTTTCTTCTCTTTAGGTGTTGTGTTACAACTTACAAGAGTATTTTGCAACATGTCAATGTTGACTCTTACTTTTTCCTCTTGTAAAACCAGACTGTTCAGGGGATCTTTTAGCAGCAATCAGTTTTGAATCTCAAAATCATGATACTTATATTAACAATATCCAAACCTGGTTGATAATTTGTGTGTGTGTGTGTGTGGTGTTCTTTTAGTCCTTTCAGTTTCAGTCAAATGAATTAAATCAATCTGCTTAAAAGCAGTCGTTGTCTCAACACGAATACGTAACACACATGTAGACACAAACACAATATTGGTCTTTATACGGCTGCAGAATTGACCACAATAATCTGATATTTTAATTTTATTACGAAACGCAACTACACATTTTAGGCCTTATAAGGGATTGCAAATTGCAATACGTGTACAACGCGAGATAACCCAAAAGAAGACGAGAAATGATCAAAATTTGCCAAAAGAACAAGAGGAATGAACAGAATATGTAGACTGATGATTTCCAGATTGGATAGAATCTCAGATTACCCAAAATCACTAATACCGCAATATATATATAAAATAAAAAAATAAAAAATAAAAAAAAAAAGAAGAAAAGAAAGAATCATTGCAATTGCATAATTACAAAATTTGCTCAAGGTCAATTCAAGAGAATCAAATTTTCAAAAAGTCAACCTAACTATCCGATACATTTTACATTTTCCCCTCCTCCTTTAATAATTAATGGTCAGTAGTATACAAGAACTTTCCTCCCCATGATTTCTCTCTCTGCAGAAAATTTTGGCCACAATACATCAAAATATAATTAATTAAATTAAAAAAAGAAAAAGAGAAAGGAAAAGCTTTAACGAAGTGTGAAAACAGGTATAAAATTGGGCTAAAAGTCAAAGAAGGGGTTGAATAGATCTAACGACGATGGCGACGGCGACGCCATGGGAACGGAAAACAAGGTCGACGGGCTCGGGATGAACATATTGTACCCACTCATAAACGGGTCCACTGCAGCCGGCGAGAACAATCCGGCAGATACTGGCGGCAGGCTCGCCGGAGCCGGAGACAATATTCCCGGAACCCTACCTAACTCCACCACGCTGTCCTGCAGCAGATCTCCCACCAAATCGCCATGGCTTCTCTCGCCGGCGACGATTTCCCTCTCCTTAGAAGGGCTGGTTCTCTCGATCGACGCCAGCCTGGCCGCCGGAGAGAGGTTTCCGCCTTCGGATCGGCCGTTGCCGGTGAGGCGCTGCACCAGGCCCATGAAGTCACTGACGGTGGTGTGGATGACTTTGGGCGAGACGGCGTAGATTATCACCGGCTGGCGGTCATCGGCGGATGCCTGCGGCGGATCCTCCGGTGGCGGAGGCTGCGGGTGGGGAGGCCGCGCAATAGGCGGTTTCCGGATCTTGTACGAGTCTTTGTTAACCTTGAGTGCCGTGGGGCGTGGGCCCTGAAGCTCCCTCCTAGGCGAGGGACGGCTGCCGTCTCCGCCTCCGCCGCCGCCGTTGGAGAAGAAGTCCAGTGGGTTCATTAGGGAAGATGAGTGGTGGATATGAATCTATCTTTGTGGCGCACTCGGGTTTGAGAGAGAGAGAAACAAATGAGCTGAAGTTTAGAGAGAGAAACAATGTGATGTGAAATGACTGCGGGGGTCATTAAATTGTCATACGAATAAATAAATAAATAAATACTGTTAGTAATCAATTCTCACATTACATAAAAGATAATGGTTGTTAAATACCGCACTCCAATTAACACTTTTGTCCTTTTTATAAAAAAAAAATTGAATTAAATTGAAAAAAACAGCTCACATATATATCACATAAACAACTCACATATAACATGAAAAAAAAAAAAAATTTTGTGTTGATACAAACATCAAAAAAAACTTCAAAACATCAAAAAATTGTAATAAATTCGAAAAAAACCGAAAAAAAGGGCAAAGAGTCTCCAACTCACAGGTAATTTTTTTTTTTTTTTTTT